ATGTAATTGTGATATTTTACAGCGTTTTTTTAGAAATCCTTATACGTTACTTATCAAATATTTTTAAAAAATATATTTCAATCAAAACTTAAAAAAGGCCTTAAAATTCTTTTTAAAATGATCAAATAATTTTTGATAAGAACGTTTGTAAAAAGATAATCCTGAATGAAAGAATAAAACTTAATGTATATTTATTTTATTTTTATGTTTTATTTAAAAAATTGTCTAAAAAGTTTTGAATTATAAGGTATAGAAATTTTTACAAAATTTTTTGCAATGTAATTTGAAATGGCAAAATCCAAGATTTGAGGGGATTAATCAAACAGTTTTTGTGAAATTAAACAAATTTAAAAGCACCAACATTACTGATACTGCTCTGAATGAGAAAAGGAAAAAAGTTTCCAAAACCTTCAAAACATAAAGTTTCCGACACCACTCCGGTTTAAATTATTGGGACCATATTTTCCAAATTGAGCCTACTCCATATTCCAACGGCCAAAAATTCAAATCCTTCAATAAAATAAATAAATATATAAATAAATAAATAAATAAATAAAGAAAGAAAGAACGAAAGAATAAAAGAAAGAAAGAAAAAAAGAAAGAAAGAAAGAAAGAGAGAAAGAAAGAAAGAAAGAAAGAAAGAAAGAAAGAAAGAAAGAAAGAAAGAAAGAAGAAAGAAAGAAAGAAAGAAAGAAAGAAAGAAAATAAAATGTGTTTCAATTCAGAGAAAGTACGCTTTTGTGTCTGATTTCGTTATTTAAAATGTAGTTTGAACAAATCAATTAGAATATTTAAGTTTAGCCCTTTAAACGATTAAAATCGCATATTAATAACGTGATAATCCGATCATTAGATCAAAAGTTGTTAAGGTGCTCCATATTTTTTGCTTGCGCAATGCACATGAAATTCAGTTATGAGTGAATAAGCCATTTAAGTGATTTAAAACATAGCATTTAGCTATTATTACCTCGTTAACGCCCTATTATGTACCTAGAGTCAATACAAAGAGTATATGGAACAGGAAAGCTCGTATTTATTACTCGTAATATTCCTGAAATGGTGAAAAACATTAACCTTTTTTATTACAGGAAAACACATAAAACATTTTATACTACAGTAAAAAGGCTCCCTTATTGCCAAATGAGATTAATATACAAAAGAAATGGCAGCGAATAGAATTTTTATTTGATGGTTTATATACAGGAGTTAAGCGGCTATTGATAGAGTAGCATTATAACACAAAAAATGTTAACCAAGTTTGTCAATATTAGCTGTTACATCTGGATAATATTGATATAAGTCAATCCCAAACTTTTATATTTAATATGGTGTTCAGAATTCAGTTTTTCATAAGTCACTGGTAACATACTTTTTATTTTAAACGTAGCTCAAAATGCGAGTTGTCAAAATGGACACAGCTTGAAATTTGAGTTTGAAAAAAGAATGGATGTAGCTCAAAAGGCGTATTTAAGACAAGGGAAATTGATATGATGCACACTTGACCGAAGGAAAACATTGCTTAAAATGTGCATTTAGCAAAATGGATACAGCTTAAAATTCAAGTTCGAAAAAAGTTGATGCATCTCAAAAGATGTGTTTAACACAATAGACATTGCTCGATATGCACATTTGAAAGAAAAAAAACATAGCTCAAAATGAGCGTTTATAAAAATGAAATTTGGCATTCACATTTTTCTTACATTATTTACTATTTACTATTTATTATTTGCACAATTTACTATTTTCTTTACTATTATGTTTACATAATTCATTATTTTTACACAATTTTTTGTTCACAGAAATCATTGTGAATAAAACATTTGATGTAGATTGTGAATAAAAATAAATTTGATATTCAGTATCTAATTTTTTTCATAATAGTTTTTTTATTCCACGATTCATTTGGATTTGACAAAGAATCTGCTTGAGTCTCAAACAAAGTCAAGGCTTGAACTGAAGATAACTTTTGCGAGTATAACGCTAATTATATGCTACATTTCAGTGACCATATATTTTACGAGGAAAAATTTACAGGCTGACCTATATTTTTATGGCCATGAAATCTTTAATTTTTTATGAGCAATAACTTATTACGAACAGTGACTGCAAAGCTTTTTAATGACCACTAACTGCAACCTAGCTGTGAAATTTTTTAGAATGTAGAAAGCTTTTTTCACTTTTTAAAAATGTTGAATCATTTGAAATTATACAGTGATTTAATTTACATTATTGTTGCCAATATATATCAAACTTTAACTCTTCAAAATTAAAATTATTAAAGGGCAAATAATAATATTGCAAAATTAATCTCTCTAAAGGATTACATTCTTCATAATAAAACTTAGTTGATTGGTATTAGTTTTTCATTCTTATGTTTAATTTTTCATTCATTTTCATGTAACATTTTAAATAGGAAATTTAAAATGTTTAAGAGCAATGCCATTTTATCTTATCTTTTTTTTTCCTTTTTATCTATCGACATAAAAAAAAACTAATACCTAATTTGATAAATCTTGTTACAAACAACGTGTTTACAAAGATTTCGACAAACTAAATATTTTGATATTTATTGGCAATCAGAAAATAAAATATCATGTTTTGTTTAATTTTTTTTATTTATTTATTTTTTTTAACACGTGTGTGTTTTTTATTATTTGTTTCACTTATCTATTGCAAGAAAAATGTCAGTAAAAGACACTGCACTTTCGGTTCGTTACTATTATCTGTAGTATTCAAATAAAAAACTAAATTCAAACCAAATATTTTATGAAATAGTAAATAAATAAAATTATAATCGAATATTTAATTTATTAAAAATATTAAATATTTCTTTTATAAAAGTGGAATTCTTTTAATAACATTTCTGTTAAATTTTGGAAGCATCAATTATTGTCTAATTATTTATTTAAAAGGAAATTTGGCAATCAAACTCTGACTAGCTAGTGTGTTCATTAAATTGAATTTGTCTTTGGTTAAATATTAATTAGCGACTCCAATGTGGATATTTTTTTAATAAGGTTTCCAAAAATACACATTAAGTGTGGTCGTTACTGAATACCCTGTATATGATAAATTTTAATTTATTTCAACGTCCCATTGAAAACATATTCTTGAATTGTGCTTATTTTTTCCACCTCTAGAATAGCATTATCTCTAAGTCCTAAAAAAATCGGACTTTCAGGTAACTTATCATCGTACAAAAATGCCAAACGACAAGGGTGGAAGTTCTTCAATTCCAAGCTATCTCCCTATGAGGAATGGATTCTCGCCTTTCATATTTTTGAGTTCAGAAAGGTAGGAAATGCATCTTATACACATCACTGGTATATTGCTCGGTATGCACTTGCCCGGTATTCCTTCTACTGATGTTTCTTTTTAGTTTTTTATATTAAGTTTCATTGCCAGGAATGGTGCTGCCCAGTATTCTCCGGATAGACATTTTTCAGATGAAGTGTCATTGCCCGGTATTCCTTACTCTGATGTTTTTTTAAGTGTAAGGGCCATGGCATGTTATTTCTTACACTGACTTTTTTTCCTAATCAGAGTTGTGTGAAATTCACAACCACCTCCAATCAAATAAAAATATCTCAACCACTGAAGAAAAATTAATAAATATAATAATGTAAAATAAAAACTAACACGAAGTGTGACATACTCTAAGCATTGAAGTGCTTATAAAAATTTTGTTATTAGAAAGGTAAGATTTCATTTCGATTTCCAAATACTTAATTCTGTCTTCCTCATCTGTTTTCATGAAAAATGCCGACATGCATTCATTTCACATGTAAATGAAAGGCAATAATTCCTTCCCCCTAGGGCAATAGACGCTAAAAGGACCAACGCTACATTGTTGTTTGTGCACTGCATTGTTGCAAACTTGCGTCCTGGTGACAGATTCTGCTTCCCCTATGTTTCATGTAAACCAATGGGAATTATTTGGAAACCAATTACCAACTTATTTAGTCACTAATCAATAATTTGGAACATTTTTTATTTAATTTGATTCATTAAAACGTATTTTATGCAACTTGTTACAAAATTGTAATTTTGCAACAAGTAACAAAATTGTAATTTCGTAATTCTGTAATTTGTAACAAGTTTCTGCAAAATTTTTTGAAGCTTGTCTAGTTTCTTTGGTTAAGTTTGATCAGGTTTAAAAAATTGTGAAAGCTATAAAATTGAAATTTGCTTGTTAGGTAGCATAAAAAAACATTTTAACTTTAAGGAGTAAACTAAACAAATAATATTTTTAAATATTAATAAGTAATTTGGCCGGGATAGCCTGGTTGGCAGGGTGCTGGACGTTTGTAGGAATTGGAGTTCAAATCCAGCTGGCCAGTAAATGGTGACTGGTGCACGTTGAATCTGCCAGGTCACAAAGTCCTCCATGCTCCCATAACAAATCAATATCTCTGGGGGTACTGAATTGGAGATTGGTCGTGCTCGGGTTCAGGTCAAAATTACGATCTGTGGACGAATGATTGAATGTATGGGTCAGTCCAATAAACGGGTGTGACGTATGGGCGTGACAGACATTGAATCCTTAGCCATAGAGGGAGCCATTTGAAACGAAGAACAATTGCATCCCTTCTGCCTAAATGGCCGCGGCAACAACAACAGCAACAGTTAGTGATTTGATAAATAAAAAATTACTATCCGCAAAATTTTCCATAGTGAAATTTTGCACTTGTGAGAATTTGATTTCAAGACACTTTTGAAGTTTTTAAGACAAAAAAATAATTAGCAATATTTTTTTTGTCTTGCATACTTTTTAAATATATTATTAATTATATAATTCATAAAATTAACTATTTTGTTATAATATCTAATTAATATCATTTCGATGTATTCTGCGCTCTTAAATTTCGCATATGTTCTTCAAAATTGATAAAATTTCTTCAGTTTTCTTATATTTGAATTCCTGTCTTGTAAGGGCATTTTGCCAATGGCACATTTTAGGCTTCACGAAGTACTTATCGTCTAGTGGAGAGTCGGTTTATTGTAGTTATAAACATCAAACAGTTAAGGTTAACCAAAATGCTTTTAAGCAGAAAAGGAACGAAAACTTACAGTATTAAAAGCAATGTTGGTACGTAAAACATGGCTTTTTTCTGATTTTTACAAATTATAAGAAATTTGTAATAGTCATACCGAGTAAAAAAGTATGGTAAAAATTACCGAAATGTGGTAAAATTCACAGTGTTTCTGTCTCTAAGGGAACACCATAAGCTTGGTAATTTTTATCGGAGAGCTTTGGTAATGATTTTGATAAAATTAACAATTAAATATTGTTTGATAATGTGTGTTAAAATTTGGGAATTTTATCATGATACCTTAAAACATGTCATAAAAACCATTTATTCGGATAAATTTATTTCTCAGTTTTGTATTTGTAGTTAAATGTGTGGTAATAAGTACTACAATTTTGATAATCAGAATTTTCAGTTAACCATCACTATATGAATGTGAAAATTAGATTTAAATGCCATATATTTTGGTTTTATAACTAGAATTATGATTTTGTTTACCAGAAATGTTTTTTCCATACAGAACGGTAATTTTACTACAATTTGTTTTGTCCCTGCACATTAAAAGAATAAAGTAATCTGTCTACGTACTTAGTAGGTTATATCTGCTATAATTTTGCAATATTCATATGTATTTGCATATTTATATTCACATTTAAGATGCATATTTAAATTAAAGATTATTTTCATATTTACATTATTTATATTTAGATGTATTTACATATTTAGGTTTACATTAACTGACACAAACAAGAGTTAAAAGCTAAGAAACTTTTGTGGGAATCGATTCTACGGGAATGTATGTTTAATAATCTTATTAAGGCGGCATAAAAATGAAATACAAAAAGTCTATGCTTACATGTTTGTAATTTTCACCACTGATTATTTTAAAATAATAATTTATTCATGAAAGTTTCGAAAAAATATTATATAATGCCACGTGTTTGTTTTTTTAAATCAAAACTGACATAGATATGAAGAGCTAAAAACTATGAAACTTTTAAGGAGTTTGTGTTTTTTAAAATTTACTATGAAAAAATAAATTTTTTTTTTTTAAAAATTTGTTTTTATTAATTTACTTTGAACTATGTTTTTAAATGTAGTTATAAACATATGAGAAATATTTGAAAAATGTTCTATGTTTGCATACGTCCTAGTCTTTTCCTGTGACACCTTTGTTTATATTCCGCAAATTATCAAAAATTTAAAAATAAAACATCATGAAAGGGATTAATTTCTTAATTTCAGCTGGTAATAATTTAAAATTTAAGAGATTAGCGATAGAAAATTTGAGAGATGTAAAATTTTAAACTCAATAAAATATTTTTTTCATAATAATATTAAATATATATAGTTTATATTCTTCAAATTTTGAAAAAATATTATGAAATGAGAAATGAGTAGTTTCTCAATTTCATCTGACATAAATCAAAAGATAAGAGTTGTGAAATTTTCAGCGAAATTTTATACCTGATAAGAATATATTCCCATTAAACACATGAAAAATATTATGAAAGGAAGCATGATAAATTTCTTAATTTCAGCTGGCAAAAATCAAAAATTAAGGGGAATTTTTAGAGGAATTTTATGCTTATTCTTAGTAATTTTAACAATCATATGTTTACATTCATCAACGATTTAAGAAAGATATTATGAAAAAAGGTATGATTAAGCTATTAATTACAGCTGGCACACATCAAAAGCTAGAAAGTACTCTGAGAAAAAATTTACCATCCTTCTGGCTCTATAAGAACACTAAAAGGCTCGGTAATTTTTACCGATGCGCTGTGATAATAATTTTGATAAAATTAACCATAAAATATGGTTTTATAATATGTGATAAAATTGTGTAAATGTGGGGAGAATTGTTAACGACAATGTCTACCTTCATCTATGAAAAGGTACCCCTCCATAAAATCGAGTTAACATGTCTTATATACTAGTGAATTGGAATTATATTTTTTTAGTGGTAGATACACTACAGTACTCCCCCACTAGAATTATCTCTGTAATAGAATTCGATGAACGGATATCACTAGTTGATTCAGTGATGTTTTGTGAGAAGCCGGGAGAGCTGTATTAAGATCACTGTACTTTGTTTAGTGCTAATCGTGAGAGCTGTATTAAGTTCATGGTCTTGGTAGCTCCTGTGTTGCCTTTAGCAGTCGAGTGTATACTTTGCACGTTGTGTGTAATGTGAGTGTGATTTGATAATTTTATCATGATACCATAGAGCATGGCATAAAAAACCATTCATTCTGTTCAATTTACTTTCCAGTTTTGTGTTTTTTACTAAATGTGTGTTAATAAGAACTAAACTTTTGAAAACCAGATTTTTTGGTAAACCGTTACCATACGACTGGAAAAGTTACAAAATGAATGGTTTGAATACCGTATATTTTGATTTTGTTAATTAGAATTATTTAATTTTTCTTCCACAGAAATGCTATTATCGTAGAGTACGGTAATTTTACCAAAATGTTTTCCTCCGTATGCGAAATTTTTTGTAGCTTAATGTTTTAGGATACTTATTTAGGAATATATACTTAAGGGGTATATTAATCACATGTAGAAAATAGTAGGAAATAACTGGGCTTTAACTTTTAGTATTTTTTAGTGATGGTTTGATTCCTTTCATCACAAATTACTTAAATAAGGAGTTGAGGAGTTACGAAATTTTCAGAAAGGATTAAATGTTTTACAGAAACACATGACTTAATAATGATATTAATGTTGTTTGCTACATGTAGTTCCTAAATATCTCTTCTTTTTTTTAATTTTTAAATATGCCATGCTATAATTTACGTATTGCGGACGTTAAACTGTTTTAGAAAGGAATCTCGTTTGCCATCAAGCTAAGATCTATGTGCATTTTACGACGAGAGCAAAATAACTGGATTATCATTATTTATTATTAATATTATTATTTTATTTTTTGTACAACATCTATATTTCTGATAAATCACATAAAATTATATTGAAACTTAAAACAATAATGGAAAAAAACATAAAACAAGTTTGATGCTTTTTTTTTCAAAAATATTTAAACCATTTTAAAAAAAAGCACTTTAGGAACATACTGCTATTAGATTATTCATATTTCTAAAAACCTGAGAAAAAATATGAAATATAGAAATTTAAATAATTCTGGTATGGAGAAAGGATTTGACTAAAATTTTTTTAACCTTTATAATTAAAAAGAGCATTAAATTAATCTTTTGGTGAACAACAGTTAGTTTAGATGTTTATAGAACTCAACGCTCAAAAATTGTTTTTATTTCTCCTTGGAGAGTTGCCAGCCTTGTAAAAAATAAACGTTTTTAATTCTTAAATCAATTTACTCATTTGAAACATTTCCATACATTGAAAAATTCAAGTGAAGAATTTATTAATGTGAGAGAACAATGACAAGCTTACAATTAAATATTTAATTTTTTTACATGATAATGAAGTTTTTAATGATAATGATAATGAGACTCCCTAATCACCCTTTTTTTGTACATATAGATTATGATAGATGAATGGGTGAAAAATTTTGTTTTCATTTTGACCAGTATATGAAAATTTTCTGAAAATAATTATTTAAATACAAAAAAACTAATACCGAATTCTTGCCAACTTATGGAAAAACCATTTGCTTTCCTGTCAGATTCAGTGTACTATGCGTAAAATTATAAGCAATTTTCTTAAATTAATGCGCTTTACGATTCATTTTGTACCTGATAAGGAAAATTTGTAGATGGTACTACGGCGGGGTTCGATCCTGGGGCCGGGCAAGGTTGACTTAGCCTTTCATCCCTCCTGTGGGTCGATAAATGAGTACCAAGCATGCTTGGGAACTAAACACTGGGGGTTCCGCGTTCGGCTGACCACCTGCTCCTGCACACCAGAGCCCAAGGTCAAGAAAACTGAGATGGGCACAGTAGGCCTTGGCCATATGAACATGGGCTGTCGCGCCGCTGAGTTTTTAGTTTAGTACTACGGCTGGGTAATGCAAAAATGCTAACTTTCATTCTCTTCAAATATCTTGAAAATCCAGTTGAAGCAAGAAAGAATATCTTTATTATCATCAACATTTTAAACTAGAAAGTATTTATAGGCAAAGTAAAAGGATTAAATGAAGCAACCTAAAAATATTTCGCTAACTGTATTTTATAAATGCATCTTAATTGATTCGTTAAAATTACGTTTCTCTCTTAAAAATAAATAAACAAACTAAGATACTGTTTAAAAAAAATAACGAATGATTTTTAACATTATTTAATGCATATTCAGATTGTTATACTGTTTTCAATTGAATGTAAATTTGAATTTAGTTTCAATGTAAATTTTAGTGTCTAAACTGTTTTCAAAATTATTTTATTAGATTTATTGGATTATGCAGTATATTCATTACGACCTTTTTTAAGATATATTTTCGGAATTCTTGTCGAAAATAAAGTTTTAAAAAAATAATTGGCTAGGGAGCACAAATTAATATTTAAGCAAAGAGCAAACAAAAACGTAATTTAAATTCGCCAAATCACCAAGAAGGTGGTATGAAAACATAAACCTGTTTGATCACTTTGTAAAACTTGGAGTAGTTTCTAATAATTGTCTTTCAGCCTTCTTCTGCTTTCTCTTGACAATCAACAAGTTTTCATATGTTCAGTCTCACCTTCTTTAGATTTCGATAGAGTTTTTTCTCCTCTCTTAAGTATTAATTTGCGATTAATAGTGCGTATATTTTTGTACTTCACATTTTTGATTAGAATTCTAGATATATATATAACAAGAATGGTCATTACAAAACACTATGTATAATTTGAAAAATCTCTAATCACTTAAATAATAATTTGAGATCAAAAGTGTGTATACTTTTTGTACTTCATTTTCGACTATAGTTCTAAATACACACATGGACAAAAAAATTTGCGCACCAAGAAGGAGTCGTCAAAATGAAACGAAATTTTACATACGTAATGACTACTTTGATATAAGTAAATGATTAGAAAATCAAAGATTATCGTTTTCCTTTGATTTTCTAATCATTTACTCATATCAAAGTAGTCATTACGTATGTAAAATTTCGTTTCATTTTAACTCCTCCTCCTTGGTGCGCTAATATTTTTGTCCATGAGTTTTTTGATATGATTTTTTTGTCCAATATAACAAGGATGGTTACTATAGGACACCCTGCATAATTTGAAATACCTCTACTCTCTTAAATACTAATTTACGATCAATAGTAGGTATACCTTTTATACTTCATTTCTGACTAGAATTCTAAATATATATAACTAAACTAAACTCAGTGGCGTGACAGCCCATAGAGGGCCAAGGCCTACTGTGCTCATCTCAGTTTTCTTAACCTTTGGGCTCTGAGGTGAAGAGCAGATGTTCCTGTTGGGTGGTCAGCCCAACGCGGAACCCTCAGTGTTTAGCCCCCAAGCATGCTTAGTACTCAATCTATCGACCTACTGAAGGGAGGAAAGGCTTGCCCGGCCCAAGAATCGAACCAGGGACCTGTGGCACGACAGCGCGAAGCGCTACCGCTCAGCCACATGGCGTCAAATTTATATAACAGAGATGGTCATTATAGAACATCTTGTATAATTTAAAATATCTCTGAAGTTACGATCAGTAGTCATTTATATTGATGTTGCATCCATTACACATATTTGCTGTAATATGCCTTGACATTAAAAAAGCACTTATTTTGAAATATTATTCCTTTGGAGAATTAATAAATGTCTTTAATTAAGTTTTCATGTTAAATCAAAGCTCGGCAAAAATTTATTTTGAGTAAAACAAAACTCCGTATAAGCTTTATTTTTGTTTACTTCACATCCTACTTAGTAATTACACCCATTACACATATTTTCTTTAATATGCTTTGATGTTAACAATGCACCAATTTTAAGACATTATTCTTTTAAGGAATTAATAAATGTCTTTAATTAAATTTTTATGTTACATCAAAATTTAGCAAACATTTCTTTTGAGTAAAACATAACTCCACATAAGCTTTATTTTTGTTTACTTCACATCTTACTTAGTAAAATAAATAATTCGCAATACAGTGATAAATTATTTAATTATTATTTAATTAAATAATAAATTTAAGGATTGTATTAAATTATATTCTAACGTTTGTGCATGCGTCGAATGCATTTGTTTAATACCCAAAAGTTTTTTTCCCTCGAGAATTTTGTGATTGAAAGTAGTTAAACTATATACCTTCATTAAATGAGTGTTTTTTTTTTGAATTTAGAATAACTACTACTTGTAAGACTTGTAATTTAATAATTAGAGATCGTATCGTCTTAATGCGTAAAAAATACCTCAATAACGTTTGACGCACTTAAATAAAATCTTAATGAGTTGAGAGACTTATCTTTAGTATGCTACTTAAAAGGCATAAACAATATTTAATGTTACGAAATCAGGCATTACAAACAAACTTTCTCTGAATAAATATACTTATTTCTTGATCCTCAAAACATGAAAAGGGGTTGTAATCTGCAAAGTATGATCCCATTAATTTATGTAAGAGAATGGTTTGGATTTTTCTGAGAATATCGAAAACTTTTTGAACACGATTGTAAGGGTGGTGAGAAATAAACATTTATATGAACATTTTCTGTGTTATCCACTATGATTTACAGAAGTTCTGCTTTTCTTGCTTCATATAGATAAGGAAAAAGACAAAGTAAAATTGTTCGTCTGTTGAAAGTGTCTAAATAGAAGCTCTCTAACAAAGTCAAAAAATTTTAATTCTTTAGCCACGATTGCAAGAGGTCGGGAGGTTCCTAAAGTAAAGCTTGAGTTGCTAAAGAGGAGAAAAGTTGCTAAAAAGATAAAAAATCAACCAAGAAAATGCTGGTTTAATTGCAAAATTCCAATTTAAATTCAGAAGTTAAAAGTCGAAGACGAACTTTCAAGACTTGAAAGGTGTTCAAAACTTCTCAGATGGCTGCAGAAATTTCTTTTCATAAATGAGAAACTGTTCTTGATTGAACAAGTTCACAATAGCCATTATGATAAAGTATGGTCAGAAAATGCCTCTTGGACATTTTATATTATTAACCGATGTCAACGACCCCACTGTATGGGCTGAAATATATGTGCCAGTGGGAAAACACCTCTTGTTTTTATTGATCAAGGGGTGAAACTAGATAACAAACATATCGGAAATTTATTTTTGGAACATGTTTTGCTTCGTCGTTCACAAAAATTTTTGAAAACAAAAAATGGACCAGCAGCATGACTCTGGTTCATATCAAAGAGACAAAAACACGCATGAATGTTCTAAGAAACCTTTTCATTGCTTTCTGAAAACACAGAAATGTCCACTTTATTTATCAGACATGAATCCAAAGGAATTTTCGTTCTGTTCATCTTGAAATATGGTTTTTTGCTAATCCTCTGATGATTTTGACAATTCTAAAAAAAATTCTTTTGTAAAAAATGGGATGAAATATCAGAAGGTGAGTTACCGTCTTAAGGAGAAAATTTTGTATCGTTTACAGCTTCGCATTACGACTGTCATTTGGGAAAATGGTTGTTATGTTTGAGGTAGTTATATTTTCTTGATTTTTGAAAGTTTGACTTCGATACTTTAATAAGTGTGAAAATTATAACAGATAATGTGCATTACCTTGTAAAACTAGGAAACTCAAAGTAAAAAATTATATTTTTATTCGTTTATTACTGTTTATTATTTAATTGATAATGGTCGAAAATATTTGAATTGTGAGATGTCCAGACATTTACATAATTTTAAACTGCGTATTTTGAACTAATAAAATTCAATATTTGAACGGAATAATTTGAATAGTTCTTGAGAAATGAAATTTTGTAAGTACTGCTGTTGGAAATTCTATTGCTCAGAAACTATTCGCCCAATTTCTCTCACTGTTGAGATATATTTTTATTGTTACTTCCTACTAAAAAGTGAAATGTTTCTTTTTAGATGGCACTCCCAAGAATAAACCAAAAAATAACGATGTAGGTACAATCAAAAATTTTCTGGGGAATAATCAGCTAGATATTGATGAAATTACAGCTCTCGAATCAGAACAACGTGAATGTCCTTTAAGTGTGTTTGAAAAAAAGTTCCTACTCTGCTCTGAAAGAGGGGATGTGCCAGAAGTTCGAGCGTAAGTAAAACGATTTCTTATAAATATTTTTTTCGAAAGAACTATGAATTCTCAATTTTTTTTTACAGTGAGATGTTTTTATAAAAATTTCCATAGGAAAGTCCTAGGAATCGCGATTTTTTTAAAAAATTCATATAAAAGAATTGTTAATTTGGATTTTTTTAAAAAAAAATTCCTTGTGAAAGAAAAAGGAATATTTATACTATTTAAGTACAATTTTTATGAAACTGTCTTATGAAAAAAACTATGAAAATGTTTCATATGTAAAAGAAATATGAATTTTAAGTTTGCATTTAAATTTCGTGCGAAAATTTATTTTAAATAAATTTACATGCCCATTTTAATTTTTTAATGACATGTTCTGCACAGCAAATATGTCTCATTTATATTTGAAGGATTTTGGTGAAGAATGTGCTATTTTAGTGATTTTGGAAGCATCAGTTCACGATACTAAAATCAATTAGAACTTTAAGTAATAATTTTGAGTTTTTAATATTAGATTGAGCATTTCTTGAAAACAAGCCAGTTTCGCAGAATATTCGTAATCATCCCACTTAATATCTATAATACAGTTATAATTTTAGAATGCTTGTATTATTTTGCAATACTTTTCAATAACGAAGCTAAAAATATGCACGTTAATAATAATTAAGCAAGGAAAGTTTCAAAAATGCTTGCGAAGTATGACAAAATACAAGCAAGGAGGGTGAGATTACAAACATCAAAACCTGCTTGTTTTAAATAAGGGAGATGATTGCCGATTATTAGAAACGCCTACAAGTATCAACTGGTAATTAAATAGGTTTTTGCGTTTTATATCCGACTTTCTCAATACTGACTGGTCAGATATTGAAAGTGGTTTAACTTTTTTCTTAGTTAAATATTAACTTGAGACCCCCATTAAGTATATTTTGCTATATATATATATATATATATATATATATATATATATATACATGGCAACCCAGTGC